TGCTGGCTCCTTTGCACTTCATGTACCAGGCTTGTTGCTGAAGTTCCAGCTACGGGGCTGTAGCAGTTGCTTAGGGATAGGAAGCGTCTGGCTGATGTAGGGGAGGAAATCAGGGCAGGCAGTGGCTGGAATTAGCCACAGAAACACTTGGAAAGCTGCCTGGCTCCATTACAGTGAAGTACTTCCATTATTTGTGAATGTGAGTGTGTGTCATTTTCCTGATGTAAGATGAAAATGTCAGGTGTCCTGATAAACTAACAGGCTTTGAAAGGAGAAGCAAAGCCATTGCTGTGGGGTGTAAGTTCTTCCCAGTTACACATTTTTTGCAGTTTCATCTTTCATTTGAAGTCGGTTTTGTCCAAATTTGGTCAGATTCTGTAATGGTGTTGGATATTGCCATCTGAAATAACGTGTAAACAGGTGATGTTGAACTTTCACTGAATCCATCAGTATCTGAGCTGGTTTTCTTATAATGTTTTAATGCAAATAAATCTTATTCTGCATTTTTTCTACAGAAGTTTCATAGTAATTTTAATACGCCTAAATTCTTTTGGTCTGAAGGATTTTTGGATGTTGTGGAATTGATTACAACTTAATGGTGCATTGCATTAGAATAATACCTGTATTACTAGAGTTCTGAAAGAAGCAGAGGCCACAGAATTCTAATTACAGTGTTAAAAAGGTTTTGATGAAGTCTGAATAGCTGCATGTCATAATTTCACATTTAGAGTTGTTATGTGTTTAAATTGCTTCATCCTCATTGGCAGCCTGCTGATAAATATTGATGATCTCCTCAGTGCTGTAGGAACAGATCTGTGTCCTTGCTGGGGACACTTTGCATTTCTTTGGGGTTTGGTCAGGAATGTGTTTGTTGATGGGACATTTGGAAGGGATGTTGATGTGATTGATGTGATTGGCATCAGGGATTCACCTGACTCACAGCCACTCCCTTTTAGTTCTCCTTCAGTAATATTCTTACAACTTCTTACAGGATCACCTGCTATCAGATCACATGCAGGGGAATGACAGCTGTTTAGAAATTCCAACTCACCAGCAACTGCAAGGGTGGAGAATTCAGAGAAATGGCCCATTTTTTCGGTGCTGCATATAGGGATATTCACTCTTGCTGTGTCTCTACCAGAGGCTGTGTATTGTGGTGAGGAACAGGAAAAACTGTCTGAAATGGGGCTGGAATGGAAATGGGCACTTAGGTGAGACAGTGAGTGTTCGGGCAGTGCAGTGTGCACGGGTAAATACACGGGTTTGCAATGCTTTTTAAGATTATGCTTGGCAATAGTGATTTATCAGAACTGGTAGTGTCTTTTTGAGCAGAGCCTGAATGTAGTTTTCTTTAGAAGATGTGTGGTCAAATCTGTGAGCACATGATTTCTTTGTTCCTGAGCAGCATCTTGAGAAGCTAATAAAGCTCTGGTATCATTTGCTTAATGCAGAGAGTTTCTGGATTCCCTTATGACTGAGGTGGATGCAGAGAGCTCTCCGGTGCTGAACATCCAGACTAGTTATTTGTTGTCACAGTTGCAAGCAGGACGAGCCAGTGTCCCATCAGGCAGCTGCCACCCATTTCAGGTTTCCTTTGTGGAATCCTGCTGGCTGGCTGGTGATCCTCCTTGAGCTGTGATGGGCCAATCCTCCCGTGACACTGCAGTCCCAGCTCTGGAAAGGCTGTGGAGCCTTTGGTTGCTGGTGTACCTGATACTGATACATGGATCCAGAGCAGTAGGATCGTCCTCCTGGCTTGGTTTCATTGTAAGTCTGGATGGAATTAAGGCTGACGAGTCCTAGAACATCCCTGCAGGCTTTCCTTTGTCATTCACCACTCTGAGCACAGGATGTGGTTATTTGCACACCCAGTGCTCCAAGAACCCCTTGCACACCCATGGGTTTGCTGGTTCTTTGGGGTTACTGTGGTGCAGTGACACTGGACTTACAGCTTGTACCCTGTCACATTGGCATTTGTTCTGCACCTTTAAATTCCACCCACATCTTTTAATTCCGTGGCTGATTTGCAGAGCAGCTCTAATGGTTTGTGTGTTTATTAGAGAGGCTTTGAAGGAGCACCTACGTGTATGAAGGCATGCACACAGCAGCTCAAAATTCATTACCTGCACCACATGCTGCCCCTGATAATGCACAGAGATCATCTCTCTCTTCCACGGCACAACTTTGAGGGTTGTCTAAACAAAGTCTTCACTTGGGGTTGTTGGGGTTGGTGATTTTTTCATTGTTTTTTTTTTTTCCACATAATCAGGTTTTGTGAAACCTTTGCTCGTGTGAGGGACTCTCACTGCTGACCTAATTTGCCCCATCTTTGTCCCCTGTCTTTATTACCTGGCTGTTCTCTGCAGCACTCCCCTGCTGCCCTCCCAGCTGCACTCCTGCAGGAGTGGGAGTGCTCACATTCCCATGAGTTACCTTGGCTCCTGCCTCTTTCCAGAAGCATCCTTTGTGTTTGCCTCTGTCCCCCTCCATGTCCTTCTCTCATCAGAGCTGTCTTCTCTCCCACATATTTTTAGTCCTTTATATTCACTCTGAAAGTTCCTGCCATAACCACTGAGCTGAGGAAAAGTGATTTCCTTGAAAGATGAGGGATCATGGTGAAGTTTTTCACAGTGGACTTAATCAAAACCAGGCCTTTTTCTTTCAATTTGTGTTGTGGCTTCCTAAAATATAACAGCAGGTTTCCTGAAACTCCAGAAGAGTCTGAAATAAGTCCTAGACTCCTTTTGTTTTCCACTTGCTGCCTTAAGTAGTCTCGAACATTATTTTAGAATGTAACACAATTCCAATTTAAAAATAGGTCTGGCAACAGATCAGATGTGGGCTGGAACTTCTCAGCTTTTTAAGGGGTCATGAGATAGCAGCAGTGCCCTGATGAACTTCATTATGCCAGACGAATATAAAATATTCATATAAAGGGAGATTTGCAAAGGCATAAAAAAGACACCTATTTTTTCAATGCATCTGGGAGTCTTAAATCTTAGTCTCATATTTAAAGATACTTCTCTTGTGTTAAAATGGCAGATTAAATGTGTAAATTTGTGTATTAAGAATAATTTTGTGATCCAGTCTTGAAATCTGCTGGAATGGTCTGTAATATTACATTACAGATCCAATCAGATTCCCCATCGAGTTGTATTGTGCACACATTTAGAGGCTTTGCAGTGCCACGTTTTAGCCTCTGTTTGGCATTTGGAGAGGGGATTAATGGATATTTAAGGTGTTGATGAACCAAGGCCTAAATTCTAATTGTTAGAGCCAACAAGTTTAGGAGTTGATGGGTTTATCAGAACAAGTTATTTTAATTGTTTTACATGTGAGCAAGACCATTAATTCCACAACATATCTGCAGTTCCACACGTGTCCCCTCGTGTGTGATGTCATTTGCCAGTAAAAGGAGAGCTGATTAGCTTTATAATGTACAGTTACCTCACTAAATCTGTCAGGGAATGCCTGTGGTGCAGGCCGTGTTGTGTAGTGCAGTGGGCTGGGGCCGGAGCAGTGTGCCCACCCGGGGAGGTCAGCGGGGCTGGCAGCACTAATGCCCACCCGGGGAGGTCAGCGGGGCTGGCAGCACTAATGCCCACCCGGGGAGGTCAGCGGGGCTGGCAGCCCT